GCGCCGGGCCCCGGGGCGGGGCGCTCTCCCGGCGGGAACGCGGGCCGGGCCCAGGCGCTAGCGCGGGCTGGAGAGCCCAGCTCCGGCCAGGGCCGCTCGTCTGCTGTCGGCAAGCGGCAGGGCGCAGGGATCCCCGTTCCGAGAGTCTCTCCATCTTGGTGGCTTCTTGGTGGGATTTGAAACCGAGAGAAAACAAAACAAAACAAAACGCTGAATTGGGGCCGAGCTGCGGTGGGGTGACCCCCTCGGACACTTGGCCAGCGTGTGAACTCTCAGGAACTCTCAGGACGGGGACAGATTGCAGATATTAGGTGACTGGGGGTAGTAAGCCAGGATCTCTTAGCAAATGGACAACCGAAAAAGGCAGGGGCCTCATTTAGGGCTCCAAGCTATCTTGAATTTAAATAGACCATCGTATAAATAGTTCAGCACATTTTGCATATGCTGTTTGGGAGGCTGAATTCAGTCTAGTTTTGGAATATGCCTGATGCCATAAATGTCTGATAATTGGGATACTGAACATTAATTATTAGAGGTACTACACAAAACTGAAAACGTTTTCCTTTTTTTATATATTCATTGCAGCCATGGCTCTAAAAGGACAAGAAGATTACATTTATCTTTTCAAGGATTCATCGCATCCAGCAGATTTTCTGGATGCATTCAGAACATTTTATTTGGATGGATTATTTACCGATATTACCCTTCAGTGCCCTTCAGGCATAATCTTTCATTGCCACCGAGTCGTTTTAGCTGCCTGCAGCAATTATTTTAAGGCCATGTTCACGGCTGACATGAAAGAAAAATTTAAAAGTAAAATAAAACTGTTTGGCATCCACCACGATATTTTGGAAGGCCTTGTAAATTATGCATATACTTCCCAAATTGAAATAACTAAAAGAAATGTACAAAGCCTTCTGGAAGCAGCCGATCTGCTGCAGTTTCTGTCAGTAAAGAAGGCCTGTGAGCAGTTTTTGGTCAGGCACCTGGATATCGATAACTGCATCGGGATGCACTCCTTTGCAGAGTTTCATGTGTGTTCAGAACTAGAGAAGGAGTCTCGGAGAATTCTGTGCTCAAGGTTTAAGGAAGTATGGCAACAAGAAGAGTTTCTGGAAATCAGCCTTGAGAAGTTTCTCTTTATCTTGTCCAGGAAGAACCTCAATGTCTGGAAGGAAGAAGCTGTCATAGAGCCCGTCATTAAGTGGACAGCTCATGATGTGGAGAATCGAATTGAGTGCCTGTGCAACCTGCTAAGCTATATCAACATAGATATAGACCCGGTGTACTTAAAGACAGCGCTAGGCCTCCAAAGAAGCTGTCTACTAACTGAAAATAAGATACGCTCTCTAATATACAATGCCTTGAATCCCATGCATAAAGAGATTTCCCAGAGGTCCACAGCCACCATGTATATCATTGGAGGCTATTACTGGCATCCTCTATCAGAGGTCCACATTTGGGATCCTTTGACAAATGTTTGGATTCAGGGAGCAGAAATACCCGATTATACCAGGGAGAGCTATGGTGTTACATGCTTAGGGCCCAACATTTATGTCACCGGAGGGTACAGGACAGATAACATAGATGCTCTTGACACGGTGTGGATCTATAACAGTGAGGGTGACGAGTGGACAGAGGGCGTGCCAATGCTCAATGCCAGGTATTACCACTGTGCAGTCACCTTGGGGGGCTGTGTCTATGCCCTCGGTGGTTACAGAAAGGGGGCTCCGGCGGAAGAGGCCGAGTTCTACGACCCACTCAAAGAGAAGTGGCTTCCTATCGCAAACATGATCAAAGGTGAGTGTAGCTTTTACATGCCCGGGGTTTTTACATGCGTGAGGTTAGGCCGCAGTCTTCCCTCTTTGAGAGGGAATTTTAGGAAGAATGTATCACGCTGAGATATTCTTGAGGAACTACAGTAGCTTCTACAAGTAATTTGGCCCAGCATTGTCCGGGTAAAAATAGTCTCCAGCTTGTCTGGACTTAAGAAAGCTGCACAAAAGAACTCAGTCAGTAGAGTGCATGCCTTCCACACACTAAGCCTGGGTTTCATCCTCAGCATCATATAAACTGGGCCTGTGGCTCATGCCTGTGATCGATCACTCAGGAAACAGAGACAAGACAATCAGAAGTTCTGGTTCATTCTCGGCCACATAGGGAGTTCAAGGCCAGTCTGAGCTGTGTAAGACTCCATCTTTAAAAAATTTTTAATTAAATGGAGTAAAGCTTTTTACTATTTTTAAAAACGATGCTGTTCAGGTTAGAACAGAAAGGTAATTTGTGTGAAGGAAGTAGTATAATTCATTCTTCCTCCTTACATCATCCTTCTAGATCTTACTTCAAGTCTTAATTTGTATCCAGCTTAGTTTTGTTAATTCATGGTTTTGTTTTTTAAAGCCCATCTAGCTCAGTTGGTAGATCATGAGACTCTTAATCTCAGGGTTGTGGGTTTGGACCCCACGTTGGGTGCCAGATAATGGGAGAAATCCATGGAGTCTATTTAATGAACAAAGGAATTTATTTGGGGGTTAACTCACTACCGTGGGAGATTTATCGTAGGGTCTGGGAAAGCTGAGCTTTGTTCCATGCTGATTTGCCTGGTCCAAGATCTCAACATCCAATACCTCGAGGAGGTGAAGAGGGGGCTGCTTTGTACATGCATCCCAGGTCTTATGGGTCCCCAGTGGGCACGCCACGGGGGCAGGTACTTCAAGGTCATAGGTGGAACAGCTGCCCACTATATCGCTCTTAAAATGTTTTTCAACTCTGCTTTGTTTTTGTTGTTTTATTTTATTTTATTTTTTGAGACAGGGTCTCATTATGTAGCCATGGCTGGCCTGGAACTTGCTATATACATCAAGCTGGCCTCAAATTCAGAGATCCACCTGCCCCTGCCTCCCAAGTGCTGCGATTAGAGGTGTGCACCACCCACCACACCTGGCATCAATCTACTTTCTAATATCCAGCTTTTCCCTCTTAGAATATATTGATCATCTCTATGAGGTCGCTCACTAAACTTCAGAATATAACACTGTACATCCTCCCGAGAACTAGAGACACAGCCTGTGCTTTTGTGATGCAGGCTTTCTCCAAATAAAGGAAGGGCAGAGATGAAGATGTCTTACTTCCTGTGGCCCACAGAGCCAAGCACACTGAATCCCAGTGTCTGCCTGATAAACACTGTATTTGGTGAGATTATTTAGCCTTGCTCTTCTTCCCTCCGGCTGTGGGGGATAAAAGTTCTTAAAAACAAAGCAAAATAACCAGCTGGTAGATTCTTAACAAACTGGTGTCATTTTGTCCCAAATGTTTCTTCCCAGGCCTTTCTGTTTCTTTTTTAACACAGTGAGGGTGTGGGAATGTGACCTGGACTAGAAATTGACCTGATGTGATCCTTGGATGACAAGCCGGAAGCTTAGAGGCAGATGGTCTTGTGATCACACACTGCTTCTGCAGCTGAGCTGCCTGGGTCCCAGCTCTGACTTTTCTCTGCTGAACTTGGGCGAGCGATTCAACAACCCCTCTGCCCAGTTTTGCCATCTGTCTGACAGGGAGGGTGGCATTAGCCAGCTGCAGGTCTTGAGAACACTGTAAGTGTGCTTATAGACCACTTGGAGCAGAGTGTGGCGCTCAGGAAGCCTCGGTATTGGGTCTGCTTTTCACAAGCAGCTACCTGTGTGGGTGGGTGGGAGAAGGCAACAGCGTGTTGTTGTCTAGGTTTTGGCTTTGCCTGGGTGTACATAGGGCTTACTGATTGAGAGGCTGATCCTGAATGCTCTGACTCCTCTCCTGCAGAAGAAACCAGCCAGGTTCAAGTATGTTAACAGCAGTTGTAAACCTGCTGGTATTATTGTTTTTTATTTCTTGGTGATAACAAACTTCAAAAATTTTATAGATAATACATCTTTGAGTATGGAAATTTATTGCTCTATTAAAAATTTGAAGAGTTATATTTGAAACACTGCTTGCTGGGGGTGGGGGTGGGGTGGGGTACTAGCCTTGTGTAGCTACTGGGAAAGAAAGTCCTATGCTTTTACCTTAGCCTTGGTGGTATGGGAGGTCTCCATACTCCGTCATCCTTCCCCAGATGCCAGTTGGCTTTTGAAATCACAGAGATTTGCTCTTTTGTTTATTTTTTTGAGAAAGTGTCTTGCTTTGGAAGCCCAGGCTATCCACAAACCCCCAATCTTCCAGCCTCAGCCTCCCAGATGCTGGGATTATGAGTGTGAACCATAGGCAAGGGCAGGGGTGTATTACTTTCATTTGAGAACTTTGTTTCTACCTGGCTAGCCCAGGGAAGGGCAAGGGTAGCAGCGGTCGGCTCCAGTTTGTGCAGTCCAGATTTGTACTGTTCTGATGGGTGGGCTTAGACCAACATTTTAGCTTCCCATTTTCCAGTAGAAAGAATAATGTTAGGTTTTCTCAGTTGATTTTACTTGCAGTCTGAAGTGAAGTAACACCTTTTCTAGTAAGATAAACATCATTTAAGTAGAGTCCAATTTCAGTTTCATTTCCTTTTGGGGGAGGGCATCTAGGGATGTGATGTACAGAGGAGAAATAAGCCTTTGGCTTCTTTGGGACCCCCAGGTCTTTCTTTTTCATCACAATGACCTTGCTTGTAAACCCACTTTTACTTAGAAGTAGAGATCAGCAAGGAGATTCAACTGCGCCAGGTACATACCAGTGTTAATCAAGTTGGTGGAAAGACTTCAAACTGAATGTTTTCAACTAAAGTGAGCCTCCCTTCTTACCCGGCTGAACCTGTTTCCACCTCCTCACATTTCCGTGGCACCAGTCTCCCAGTTTTCCAAGTTCAGGATCCGCCTGGTTTGTCTCGTCATGGAAGCCCATCTGTTTGACCTATCTCTCACCTCTGCCCTTCCCATCACACCCAAAGCACCTTCTAAGTCTGGCTGGCCCTTGATAATCCTTATGTGAGTCGTAGCTACATCTTTCTGAGTCCTCTCCTTCCTTTTCAGTCCCTTCCTGCCTCTGTTTATAAACCTGAAATGTCCTGCTGAACGAAGCCAGGCATCTAGCTTCAGCTTACATTCCGTCCTTAATTCTCCTGTGCTGACTCCCGTTGTGCTAGCCTACTCGATATTGCCTAATGAGCCTCTGTGGGGCTTTCCTCTGCATAGAGCTTCGCCTTCCTCTGCTTGCCAGAGTCCTGACCACCAGGCCCAGGGCAAGTCATGTCACCCCTGCTGTGATTTTTCCAGTCAAAAGCAATGTCTCTTTGATCTGGCCAATAATGTTAGCCTCTCTCTCTCTCTCTCTCTCTCTCTCTCTCTCTCTCTCTCTCTCTCTCTCTCTCTCTCCTCTTATGGTATTTCCCCCTTACTATAAGTGTTCTAATTATTTGTACTCCTAAAAGAGCAAGAGAAGCCTTCATTTTTCACTTTTTTTTTGTTTGTTTGTTTTTTGTTTTGTTTTTCAAGACAGGGTTTCTCTGTGTAGCTTTGCGCCTTTCCTGGAACTCACTTTGGAGACCAGGCTGGCCTCGAACTCACAGAGATCCGCCTGGCTCTGCCTCCCGAGTGCTGGGATTAAAGGCGTGCGCCACCACCGCCCGGCCTCATTTTTCACTTTTACCCCTCAGCGTCTAACACAGTGCTTTGCATTTGCCATCCATAACAACAGAAACAGTAACAGACTGGTATTCATTTCAGAAAAGCATGAACGATCTAAGATGTGATTTCACTTGACATCCAGGTGTGGGAAATGCTACTGCCTGTGTCCTACATGAAGTCATCTATGTCATTGGCGGCCACTGTGGCTACAGAGGAAGCTGCACCTATGACAAGGTGCAGAGTTACAATTCAGACATCAACGAATGGAGCCTTATCACTGCCAGCCCACACCCAGGTAATAGGAGTCCTGTTTCAAGCATACAACTGTTGTCTTTAGGACGGTCGGGACGGTGCAGAGAGATGAAAGTCGGGCAAGTGTTTCTTCCTCTTTAGAAGCATGTTCACTCTGCATTGCAAGGACTATTAAACACCTGTTCCTAGATATGCAGAGCCCTGTGTGCTACCTTGATGGTCAGAAAGGAAAGTGTTGTCTATCAAAGAAATGCTTGCTTCTGTGGTGTGTGTGTGTGTGTGTGTGTGTGTGTGTGTGTGTGTGTGTGTGTGCAGGCTAGAAGATGGCATCACCACCTTATTTTTTGAGACAGGGTCTCTCTCTGAACCTGGAGCTTACCTATTTGGCTAGACTGGCTGTCTGGTGAGGCCCTAAGGTTATCCTGTCTCTACATTTCCATCGCTGGGATTTTAGGCATACGTTGTTGAACTCAGCATTTTATATGAACGCTGGAGGTCTGAACTCAGGTCTGAACTCATGCTTGTATGTCAAGCACTTTATGAAATGAGCTAGCTCCTTGGTCCCCTTTTGCTGTCTTTTATTCTTAGCCTGTTACAGAGGCTTGGGAGTGATAAGAGCACGTGGTTAGCATGGGTTAGGCCCTGGGTTCAGCTCCACTGTGAAAGATGGAATATTTTAGACTGTTACAGTTATGCCATATGTTTAAGAGTTTGCATTTGGATGAATTTATATCATGTCCCCTTGCTATTTTGAAACTTTTTTTTTTTTTTTTTTTTTTTTTTTTTTTTTTTTTTTTTTTTTTTTTTTTTTTTTTTTTTTTTTTTTTTTTTTTTTGCAGAGCATCAGGCTTTCAGTGGGTCACTGGAGAGGGAAATTCAAATCTGCAAGCTTGAGATATTTGTGACTAACAGCAATAGCTAACACCATTGAGTGCATACTATGTAGGTCAGGGATTGGCTAAGCACTTCACATTATCTTAAATTCTCACTGAAATTCTGTCCATAGGTATTGTTTATCATTGATTTACATGTTTGGGAACGGAGGGTCGGTAATTTAGAAAAGATGAGTAACTTTTCCAAAATCACATTTTGAAAGTGATGGCCCAGGATGCACATTCTGCCAGTCTTGATTCCATCATCTGCGAAGTGACCACTGAGTAGCCAGCTTCTGCCAAATGGAGCAGCCTTTCTTGCTGTCAGCCCATGTAGCTGCTCCACCCATTGCACCTGTCGCCTCTCACCTGCATTTGGTGCTGATGAGAGGAAACTTCAGCTGCAGGTTGCCCTGGCTCTGAAAACGTAGATTGCATTGACATTGGTCTTAGTAGTCCAGACATATTGTCTAGTCTAGATAATACTCCCGTCACTTTCTGTGGTGACCAACAAAGTTATAATGGAAAGTAATAATAGTAGGTCATTCTGAGTGATAGCTAATGTTTACTCAGTATTGACTAGGTACACTGTTCCAATAATTTTACATGTATTAATCTGTTTATATTTGTTAATCTTATAATATTGCAATGAAATGCCTGAGGGAACTAACTTAGAGTTTATTTAGCTGATAGTGTGAGGTTCTTTTCCAAGACTGGGTGCCACTTTTGTGGTCTCTGGTCATCTGGCCTCTGACAAGAGCAGGTAATGGTGATGTCAGAAGCATGTGTTAAAACAGGTAGTTAACTCAGAGAAAGAACTGGCCAGAGTCAAACAGTACTCTTCAGAGACCTCCCATAATGCCCCAACTTTTTATAACCCATAGCACCTCCTAATATCAATGTCCTGGGGACTAAGTATATATAGTCCTTTGGGGGACACTACCCATATTCAAACCACAGCACTATATATTTATTTGGTGTGTTTGTGTGTGGTGTGCACGCTCATTTGTGGGGGTATGTGTGTCCACACTGTGTACAAGCACACTAAACATACATGTGAAGGCCTGAGATGGATCTCCTTGATTGCTGTCCACCTTATGGATTGCGGTAGAGTCTCCCAATGAACCCAGAGCTCACTATTTGGATTAGTCTAGCTTACGCTGGGGAATGCCCTTCTCTCTGTCCTCTGCAGGGTTAGGGTTAGGGCTTGGGGTTCTAGAGTTCTGAACTCTGGTCCTCATGCATGGTGTCTTATGTTTTTATTGCTGTGAAGAGACACCATGACAATGGCAACTCTTATAAGGAAAACATTTAATTGGGGTGATGGCTTACAGTTCAGAAATTGTTCATTATCATAATGGGGAGCATGGCAGCGTGCAGGCGGATATGGTGCTGGAACTGAGAGTGCTGCATCTTTCAGGCAACAGGAAGTCAACGGTCAGTTCCACTGAGGGAAGCTTGAGCAAAAGAGACTACAAAGCCCACCCCCACCGTGACACACTTCCTCCAACAAGGCCACACCTCCTGATAGTGTCACTCCCTTTGGGGGCCATTTTCTTTCAAACCACCACGCGTGGGAAGCATTTAACCTGCTGAGCTACATTGCCAAATTTAAACCTTCTAGTAATCCTGTGAGCTGGAGAGGTACTGTTGTTAACTGGTTTAACAGGTGGTTGAAGTGGTGACATTAAATGCATTACTCAAAGTCAGCCATCTAGAATGTTTGTTAGAATTGAGGGTTAGCCCAGGTAGCCTGGCCTGGGGCCCATGGTCTCCACTGTTACCTTAGTTTGAACGCCATGTTGAAACCTGAGTCCCATGTTAATCTGCTTATTTTGTGGTCAGACTTATCTTTCCAACAAAATCCAATACATGAAAAATCAGATTTACAATTTAGAAAAAAACGACGGGTGATGGCAGCACAAGCCTTTAATCCCAGCATTTAGGAGGCAGAAGCTGGTGAATCTCTGAGTTTGAGACGACCGTGGTCTACAAGAGTGAGTTCAAAGACAGTCAGAGCTACAAAAAGAAACCCTGTCTTGAAACAAAACAAAACAAACCCCAAGATTTAGAAAAAAAAAAAATAGAATAAACAACAACAAAAACAATTAGAAAAGTTATTTACATTAATATATTTAATATGCATTATACGGGGGATCACTTTGAAAATAAGTGTCCCAGGACTAGAGAGATAGCTCAAAGGTTAAGAGTGTTGCCGCCCTGGCAGAGGACCGCGGTTTAGCATCCATCACCCACATGGTGGCTCATTAGTCCACTTCCGGCCTCTGTGGCACCAGCCATGCACAAGGTCCACATATGTACATACATGCAGACACATAGAGACAAATATAAAAATTAATTTTTTTAATGCCAAATGCTGTTTATTGAAGGAGGGAGGAGGTCTTAAATACAGGCTTACAGCACAGTGGGAGAACCCCAGAGAGCAGAAGTTCGCTACAGAAGTTTTACAATCTTGCATCTAAGCTGTTAACGCCCATTATGCAGGATACACAGACAAGGAAATTCACTTAAGCATTCAGGAGGATGGAACCTGGCAGGGAATTAGCATAGGGAGGATATCAAGGTCAAGGTCCGCAAGCAAGGCAACAGTTACCCAAAACGGGGGCCAGGGACCTACGGGTCCCCCTATAAAAATTAATTTTAAAAAATAAAAAAGTGAGCCAGGCAGTGGTGGTGCACACCATTAATCCCAGCACTCAGGAGGCAGAGGCAGGTGGATCTCTGTGAGTTCAAGGACAGCCTGGGCTACAGAGTGAGTTCCAGGACAGGCTCCAAAGCTACACAGAGAAACCCTGTCTTGAAAAACCAAAAATAAATAAATAAATAAAGTGTCCCACAAAGTCAGTGAGTTACAAATGGTTTATTAGCTACTTGAAAAAGAGTCTAAGAGGCAGTGTTACTCAAGTCTAGTGTTAGAAGGCACACGAAATTGAAAAACAGTTCCGAAAAGGATGGTATAAACTAATAGAAACCTCCAACTGTAGCTGTGAAGTTTTAATCTATATTAAGCTTTTCCTGATGCGGTATTTTTTTAAAGATACTAATTAGCACCTTGCACAGTATGTCCTATTTGGCTGCCACAGTGCTTCAACTATTTTTGAATTGGCTCATTACCAAAATTTAAAATTCAGAAGATTTCAAACAAAAATCATGGTTTGGAGCCTTTAAAAAAAAGTGGTAAGGTCTGGCAACATGACAGTATTTCCTCCTGGCAGCAGTGATGAAGGCCAGGGAGTAGCTGTCCTGGTTAGATGAGGCTTATGTTTTTCATCTCACGATGATGCTTCCAGTTCTGGTCACATCCCAGACCAAAGGACTTGGTGTGTTGTTTTTCTTGTCCCTGGCCTGCTTCATATCATGGCACTTGGAAGAGCCAGCAGAAGGAGAGAAACAAAATTAAAACACTGACAGACTAGGTGAGGTAGGCCCCTTTGGAGGAGACTCTCAACCACAGGGCCCTGATGCCCACAGCAACCTTCTGCGGGGGGGGGGTGGGGGGGGACGACACGGGGGACGGGGGACGGGACGGACACGGGACGGGGAACACGCCTTTCGTGATGGCTGAGTATGATAGCCATAGGCCTCAGTGACTTGGATCTATGCTTTTCCCACTTGCGTCCCTGACTAGACTGGCAGTGTGAGAGAAGCTAGCCAGCCCATCCTCTGAAGCAAGCGTAGCAACTGATACACCGGGTGGTCTGTCCTTAGCCACAAGGTTGCTGAAACCTTGGGAGGCCTACACCAGTTACAGAGGATCCGTTACTGCCATCATCTGGAAAGCTGATAGTGTCAGGATGAATGTCAGTGAAGAGCCCCCATGTTAGACAGCTCCCAGAAAGATGGTGGTGGGAGGGTGGGCTGCTCCTTGTCATCATGCAGAGCCGGTTTAGGATTACCATTAATGATGGTTATCCCCGAGGGCTAATGGCCGAGCAGCAGGAACAGGCCAGCTGAGCCAGATGGCAGGGATTGGATTTTAAGCCTCAGTGTACAGCATGAATATGACAGAATCAAAATGTCACCATGGCTCTGTTTTTGTGGTCTCAATTACGGAGCTCTAGTCCCCAAAGTATGATAGCCCCTTTGATATCAGAATTCAAATTTTGCTCTTTCCTTTTCTTCCTTCTACAAAGAATATGGATTGTGCTCAGTTCCGTTTGAAAACAAGCTCTACTTGGTTGGTGGACAAACTACAATCACAGAGTGCTATGACCCGGAACAAAATGAGTGGAGAGAGACGGCACCCATGATGGAGAGGAGGATGGAGTGCGGGGCTGTCATCATGAATGGTTGCATCTACGTCACCGGAGGGTACTCCTACTCAAAGGGGACGTATCTCCAGAGCATTGAGAAATACGACCCAGATCTTAATAAGTGGGAAATAGTGGGCAATCTCCCGAGTGCCATGCGGTCTCATGGATGCGTCTGTGTGTATAATGTCTGATTGTGTCCACAGGACTAACCAGGTCATCACTTGGGGCATAGTAAAAAGAATGCAGTTTGGGGTGGCTCGTCACTGTGGTTCGGCACATGCTAGGGCATTGGAGATTTTTAATTCTAACCTTGCACGACTCCCAGACCCAGGGATTAATGGGAATAACATAAGAAAAATGTTATGTATGTATACAATTCAATTAAGAGAGCTAACCCCTTCTAGAGTCTCTGGAGTATTTGACACGTGGTAAAGGTGAAATACCCTTGTAGTGAATCTTTCCTTCCTGGTAGCATCAACACTGGGTAAAAGTCAAAATCACTCATTCTATGTAATGAAATGTCTGTTAAGAGCCTATAATATAGCTGGGCAGTGGTGGCGCACGCCTTTAATCCCAGCCCTTGGGAGGCAGAGGCAGGCGGATCTCGGTGAGTTCAAGGACATCAAGGCCAGCCTGGTCTACATAGCAAGTTCTAGGCCAGTCAAGGCTACAGTGAGAACCTGTCTTTAAGAGCCTATGATGTACCTGTGTATATTGCAGGCCTCCAGCTGGCAGGGATTTGAAATGTAAAGAGGGAACCATCTACCTCTACAAAACAACACTTTCAAATGTTTCCCTTTAAAATTATTCAGAATGTGGATTTACTCACCTTCTTTTTCCTTTGTGGTGTATATAATTTATTGCTAGTATTCTTTATTTACCATGAGAGCTACACTAAACACTGTACAAATGATTGTTCAAAGAGTTTACAACTCAACTTAAAAGAATTGCAAGTCTAAAAAAATCACAGAGAAAACAGTCAGATATTTGCTGATGTGTGTTTAATTTTTAGCTTGGGTGTAAATTGCTAGTTTAGGTGTCAGGCTTATGCATGTTGACAAATCCTCTTTATAGTTAAATGCCTGCGCTAAAGTTGACTTGCACAGCCGGAAAGCATGGAGAGCAGAGATGATGTAGAAAATGCACTGACGAGAAGAATTTGCCCTCATTTGCCGGCACTGCCACAACCAACTTTGTGACTTTGCTCTCTGAACCCATCTGTGACTTGAGCTTCTTGACCCATGGACACTGGCGCTTTGAGACATAGATCTATCTAGGTCAAGAACCCCTCACCCTTTGAAGCCAGATGAGACCTGGGTGGCCTATGGGCCAGATAAACCCTTTTCCAGCTTGTTCTGTGTGCAGGCACTTCCCAAGTGTGCCGCCGTGACTTAAGAAGGGGGAAGGAGGCAACTGATTCATCCAAACCCGAGTGAGCGTGAGGCCGTCTACTCCACGCTAGGCTGCTTTTATTGTTTTTTTTTTTAAGAGATAATACTTGTTTTTTACTTTAAATAAAACTACTTCTGATTGAAAAAAAACTTTTAAGAAGACTATTTAATACTCACGTCAGATAGCATTTTAAATAGATACAACCCTTTGGAGTTGCTATATGGTACTTTTTTATAAAGAGTCATAAAAGTGACCATACTGAGAGATGATTCAGTGGGTAAATGTGCTGACTTCACAGGCCTGAGACCCACATCTGATCCTCAGAACCTACTGTGGAAGGACAGGATGGACTCCCGAAAGCTGTCCTCTGCCTTCCACGTGTGCTATGTGTGCCACATGTGTGCATACGCACACGTGAGCACTCTCTCTCTCTCTCTCTCTCTCTCTCTCTCTCACACACACACACACACACACACACACACACACATATACACAAAGTAGAAGTAAATTTAAAAATTTTAAATGACTATATCCTTTGCCCCATGAGCTCCCATTATTTTTAAACTAAAGAATGATTAAAAAATTGTAAATGCATGAGAATGTTTATGTCTGCACTCTAAATAGTAGCAACAATATGGAGAAAATCTATCTGTATGTTAAAGAGAGCGTGCTAATGAAATAATGGTGTATACTGCCATGAGCATAACTATGTGGAAGACTGTAGAAGTGTGATGTGTCTGTGCTAAGTAAAGTAAGCACAGTGCAAAGCAGTGTTCACACTAGGACTGTGTCTGTAAAGCCTTTATGCATGTGGATGGTAATGTGCTGAATAAACTCAAGGTGTTAGTGTAAGGAGATGTGGAATGGTTTTAAGTTTATTGAATTTTTTCTTTGTATTTTCAATAAAAATAAATAAGTCACTGTATATGTGGTGAAGACTGATTAAGTTTGAGCCAATTGGTTTAAAGCAGTCTGAATCAATGAAATAAATTATATCACGTTAAAAATCTGTAATTTTTTTTTCTATTTTGGTTTTTCGAGACCGGGTTTCTCTGTGTAGCTCTGACTGTCCTGGAACTCACTCTGTAGACCAGGCTGGCCTCGAACTCACAGAGATCTACCTGCCCTTGCCTCCAAGTGCTGGGATTAAAGTCGTGTGCCACTGCACCCTGGCTCAATGTGTTTGAATTTAAAAGCCATTACTTTGAGAAGGCAAACACCATTTACATTCGCAGAAATGATTTTACCCAATTTTTTAAAGTTGCCATTTCTCACAGGCTTTATTCTTGATCATTTAGCAGAACCATAGGACAGTGAGCATCTAGGGTACTTGCTGCTTAAAGACATAATAGCCCTTGTTTGCATATCCATGTCAATATGTCCCATGTCCCTGAGTGTTTGTATTTTCCCAGTATTCAGATATTAAAGCTGTAGCCCTCAGTGTATTTGAAATAGGACAAATACTCTGGAAGTATTTACAGTTATGTGATATCCTGAATATGGGCCTTCATCAGGTAGGAAAGTGTCTTTACAAGTCATTAGAAGACCTGCACCCCTCTCTCATGCCTCGCTGTTTACCTGACCTTGGTGGCCATTTCTTCCAGCCTCCAGTTCTTTGGAAAGTACTGCAGTCTCCTGGTCTCTGGTATGTTGCTATGGCAGCCTGAGTTGACTGATGCAGCTTACAAAGGAGAGGGCTCTTTAAATGATGGGATGGAGGTGCCAGATCAGCAAGAGGCAGACAACTCTCTCACCCTGTCACCTGTCACCACCACCATCTGTTTTATCTGAAACTCACTGGGTGGTGGGGGGCACACTCCTTTAATCCCAGCACTCAGGAGGCAGAGGCAGGCCCATCTCTGAGTTTGAGGCCAGTCTGGTCAGAAAAAAAAAATCTCTAGGGGGCGGGAGGAGGGAGGACAGGGGAATCTGTGGTTGGTATGTAAAATGCATAGAAAATCTCATAATAATAATAATAATGAAAAAAATCTCTAAAACTCGGAAAGTCAGCCTTGTTTCTTATGTAACAGAACACAGCATAGCTCCTGCCTCAGAGAATGACCAAATCTGCTGATCTCTAGCTCCCTCCCTCTGTGACATACATAGCATCCCATCCCTGGTCAGGGTGTCTGGAGCCATGGCTGGCCAAGATCTCTGGTAATTTAATTGACAAGGGCTGAGAGAAGATGCCATAGTGGCTAAAAATGAAAATGATAATGTCTCAGAGCCTAGATTTCTTGCAGACCCATCCCCACCTTCTTCAATGTGGCTCTGTTAGCCTTTTTGGCTTTGAGCTGGGATTCTGACTTTTTTATTATTATTGTTGTTGTTGTTGTTGTTGTTTTTGAGACAAGGTTTCTCTGTGTTGTTTTGGTGCCTGTTCTGGATCTCACTCTGTAAACCAGGCTGGCCTTGAACTCACAGAGATCTGCCTGGCTCTACCCTGTGAGTGCTGGGATTAAAGATGTGTGCCACCACCACCTGGCAGATTCTGACTTTTAGAACCAAAAAAGCATGGACTAGTATCAAAGAGGTTTGTCTGTGTGGAGCTCAGTGGTGGAGTCCTTACCTATCATTTGTGAGGCTCTGAATTCAATCTCTAACACCTCCCAAAATTAGAAAGTACAATGCAATGATATATACTATATTAAAGGGGGGACTGCCCGTTTTTTTTTTTTAATTTAAATATTTTTGGAAAGTATTGTTTTTTGTGCTACAACAGTGTGGTGGTTTCAGCAGGAATGGCTCTCGTAGGCTCATGACATTTCAGGGAGTCACACCACTTCAACTATTAGGAAGTGTGGCCTTATTGGGGGACGAGAGGGTGGACTCTGAGGTCTCACAAGCCCAGGCCAGCCCCAGTGTCTCTTCCTGCTGCCTGTGGATCTGGATGCAGAACTCTCAGCTCCGTCTCCAGCACCACGTCTGCCTGCATGCTGCCATGCTCCCCACCATGATGAAAACGGACTGAACCTCTGGAACTGTAAGTGAGCCCCAATTAGACGCTTTCTTTTACAAACATTGCTGTGGTCATGGGGTCTCTTTAAAGCAATAGAAACCCTAACTAAGACAAACAGACTACAAATTTAGTAGTAGTCTTAAAACAAATTACTGGGCCAGTGACAAGGTGCCTCAGCTGGTGAAGACACTTGCTCCCAAACCTAACACCCAGAGTTGGGTTCCGGGGACCCACATAGTAGGAGCAAAGAGCTTACTCTCATAAGTTGTCCTCTGACCTTTGCATATACACACTGGCCCACGCATGTTCACACATATAAACATACACGAAAGTAAGTAAGTAAATGTTAAAAAAAAAAAATCAAGTGTGGGCTATTCATGTTTAATCTCAGCATTCAGGAGACTGGCAGGCCAACTTGAGTTCTAGGCTGGCCAACAATGCAGAGTGAGACCCTGTCTCAAACAAAATAAAAAACAATAAAGATATTAATGACACACTGTGTCAGTGTTAGCAACTTTTAAAAAATTATTTTATGCTGGGCAGTGGTTGTACACACCTTTAATCTCAGCACTCAGGAGGCAGAGGCCAGCCTGGGCTCCAGAGTGAGTTTCAGGACAGCCAAGGCTACACAGAGAAACCCTGTCTTGAAAAAAAATTATTTTACATGGAAGTCTTATTATGAAGCCTAGGCTAGCCTCAAACTCAAGATCTTGTCATCGCTCTTTCCCAAAGAGAATCACAGGTGTGAGCCACCATACCTAGTGCAGTCTGAACTGGCCTGCCATCTAACCTAATATATTCACAGCTTCCAGGCATTAGGACACCGGCATTTTTAAGGAGCATTAGATAAAATACTGCCTTCCCCTAACTCTAGCATTCCCTTTGGGTGTAGCATAAATCTTAAAAGTTCTTATTCATTAAAAACAAACCTGGAGCTGGGTATTGGGTTAAATGCTTGAAGATCAGAGAAGCAGAACAAGCCACAGCTACCTCACCTCGACAATTCCTCAGCTGATCCTGTTTCCTCAGACTGGAAGTCTCTGAGTCCTCATCCAAATGGATCTCAGCTGAACTGCTTCTCGAAAGCCTGAAAGCTTAACCAGCTCTAGTTTCTGGTCCTCACACCTTATATACCTTTCTGCTTTCTGCCATCACTTCCTAGGATTAAAGGCGTGAGTCACTATGCCTGGCTGTTTCCAGTGTGACCTTGAACTCAGAGATCCAGATGGATTTCTACCTCTGGAAGGCTAGGATTAAAGGCGTGCGTGCCACCATTTTCTGGCTTCTATATCTAGTGGCTGTTCTGTTCTCTGATCCCAGATAAGTTTATTAGGGTGCACATATTTTGGAACACAATATCACCACACTTTGGGTGAATTTATCTTATGCTTTCTGAAGAGATTCTGATAGAGGGGTTAAAAAAAAAAGTCAAAACAAAACATGGGGAGCCAGGCACAGTCGAGAAAAAGCTGACAACATGAATTTCATATACTACACAGCAGTGGACACAAAAATCTCAATGAAACATTCTCATTACCCGGGGTGTGTGTGTGTGTGTGTTGTCATTATTAGAATGACAGTTGTCGTTCAGAATGTGAGTCAGGAACTGTTACCTCTTACTTTGACCCTGTGAGTCAGAACACAATATTCTCTTTGGAGTTTCGCTGGGATGGAAGCATGCTGCCTAACCCCGGGTGAACATTGTTGTTCTAACTGGCTGCATCCTGAGCGCATTTTGTACTGCTTGAGAAATCACCCTGTATCCATGATTCTGCCCGTGTTCCAGCTTTTGTCGGAAATCCAAACCAAACCACAAGACAGTGCACCTACAAGTGCCTACCAAGGTTGTTGCTGGGCAAGCTGAAATGCCAGAGCTGTATAAAGCAGGCTGAATTAGTGCAGCCAGTAATTATCCGGCCCCCAGTCTTCACTCACCAGCATCAATAGGGCCAGCTGGGCGCATGTAATCTGTGAGCATTCAGCAGAACCTGTCAGGCGCTAACTACATCTTTTGTTAGGAAGCCCACAGATAGCCTCTATTTCTAGTTCTTTTCTGGACAGATAGACCAGAAATGTGTTATTTGTAGCTTCCTGAATGTGTCTTGGGTTATTTGTGGCCCTTTGTTTTTGTTGAGACACAGGTCACACTGCCTTCCCAGTCAAGAGATGAGGCCTTTAAGCGTGGGCAGCCATTTGAGACCATTTGGATATGGTTATTTTTAAAACTTTACTGTTAAATATAATAGAAATACGGAAATCTGTGTATATCAGTTATTTTTCTTAAAGGTTGGAAGAACCCCTGCTGACAGAGGAGAAAGGCTGTCATGATGGGAGAAGCAGAGGGGCAGGAGATTGAGGCAGCTGGCGTCTGAGCCAGGCCACATCTCAGGCCTGCCTTCAGTGGCTACACATCAGCCAGACCCCACTTCTTGAAGGTTCCACAGTCTCAAACAGCGACGCCAGCTGGGAGCATAGTGTTCAAACATGAGTCTGTGGGGGTCATTTGCTCTTCTTGCAGGGGACCAGGGATCGATTCCCAACACTCACTGGTGGTGGGTACAGGGGATTGACTCAGTCCCTCTGTAAGAGCAGTACTTCCTCTTAACCAATGAATCATCTCTCCAGGCCTTGGAACAGCAGGGCTAAGAAAAAGACGCTCTTGGGAAGAAAACCACACCAGGAGTGTGGGCACAGGCCTCTTAAAAGAGAGTCGCCTTCTCCCACTTTTCTGTTTCCTCCTTTACAACACAAGGCTAGAGTTCATGGAGGCTCAGCTGAGAGGTCATAGGAAGATTCCACCGGGTGTTTTGGAAGACCAAATCAACACAAAAGAAAAATAAAATTATTTCCTAGTATCTTTAAGTCAATGGATAAACACAAAGTTGCCAAGAGCATTGGAACATACCTGTGATCTCAGTACCATGAGGCTGAGCCTTGAGGACCTCAGGTTTGCTCGCCTGGGCTTT